TCTTTAACTGTTATTATTATTATTATTATTATTATTATTATTATTATTATTATTATTATTATTATTAAAAGTAAGTATTTATGAACCTAATTAAACTTTAGTTAGCATTTAGAGAAGCTGAAGTGCGGAGAAAATCAGGGGTTACCTTCCTTGACGGTTTCAGGCAAAAGTGAACGTTAGGAGGAAGATGGGACTTTCGGGTCTCTGCATCCCGTGATCTTATTGTTGTCTCATCTATTATTTCTAACCGCGATAGTATCGCGATGGTTCGATCATGAAGCTGATGGTTTCCAGCAAAATCAGGAGAGCAGCAGAAGGAAGAACGAGGAGGGAAGAAGGAAGAGGAGGGAGATCTAGAGAAAGAAGAGAGGTGTGATGCCCTAACTTGTGTCAATCCTCCTTAAATAGCAGCGAGAAAAGGAAAGTGTGATTTTAGGTAGTCGGTAATGCAGAGAACAATGAAGGAAAGAAGAAAAAAATGAAAAAAGTAAGGTAATAATTTCAGTTCTTTACACCAACAAGAAAGTAAGGGTCTGTTTCGGGCAGTTGTTGATTATTTATAATCTGTTAATAAGTAGATTATTCTGATAATTTGATAATTTACAGATTATCAGAATAAGCTGGCTTATTGTTTGGGGCAGCTTATTCAGAACAGCTTACTGACAACTGTTGCTGGATAAATGACAATTCTGCCCATGTTTGGTTAAGCTGATGACAACATAATTGTTTGAGTACATAAATAAATAAAACAGAACTCCAAAAACATTGCAGATCAGTTCAATAAAGATAACATAGAGTCCTCACACTTTTGTGAGTATTAGAACAAATAAAATAAAGATAAATACAAGTATAACTACAATAAGATATATTAAAATAATTACAGCTAGAATATACCCAAAAATCGTTCATTCATTTCATATATCACATCAAAAATTTAAAAGAATATATTGCTTGCATCTCCCAAAAGAACCAACAGAAAAGAATAACTTTCCAAGGATGACAGGGGAAAGAATACTTGAAGAATCAGAAGTAAAATCGAAATGGTAGGGCTCGCGGGAAGGAAGGAGAGGGTATACCTTACGCGGATCTCAGTCCAAGCGAAGGAGAGAAGGATTGGCGAGCCAAGGGGGATCTGCCATGTGAGACGAGTGATGTGTGATTCTCCTTGGAAGGGTCTGATTTCCTGTGTATGGGCGAGCAGAAGGGTGTGATTCTCTGGAAATGTGAGGGCAAAGGGAGCAAGGCGAAGGGTGCGATTCTCGGAAGGGCAAGGGCAAAGGGAGTGAGGCGAAGCAGAGGTGAAGGAGCACAGAAGATCTGCGAAGCAGAGGAGGCGAACCAGAGGAGATCTGCGATTCTCTTAGAGTGAGGGCGAGGGGATATGCGAAGGGGCAGCACAGGAACTTTTCCCTAATCGCAGAATTCATACGTGGGACGCGGGGGGAGTCCGGCTTGCGAAAAGATGAAGAAAATGGCGACAATAAAACACCGCGGCAAGAATAATTTAGACCGAACGAGATATACAAACGGGAAGACAGCGTTTTCAAATCGCCACCGCTCCCTATAAGCTACCCCAAACGGGCCCTAAATGAGGTCCTAAAGATTAACACATCAACTTAATAACCAAATGCTTTAAGAAATTCAAATTGAAATAAAAAACATTTACAATACCTATTTAATAAAGAGTAAAACTTGGTTTCTACACATTAATATGAAAATTACACCAAATTTTATTGAAAGTATATCAATGTTTACAAAGATGAAGGAAAAAATCACACCCGGGTTGAATCTTTTCTTGCACCTTGTCTATCCTCGCTTTTAAAAAGAGTTCTTCTTGATTACCTCTCACAAAATTAAACACATGACAAACTCACACTCACATACATATATTCACTAAGCACTCTCCTACTTTACTTTGTTGTCTGAACTCCCCCTTCAAATGAAATTATGTGTTTTAAGCCTTTCCCTTGACAGAACCATCAACAAACCGCATAAACTACCTTAAGTTAGTGGGGAACGTTAGGTTGCTAGCTAGGTGGCATTGGGATGCTGGCAATGAGCGCTTCTAAGCTAGATATGAGCTATGCATTTCGTGCCCCCAGTTCTTCAATAAACGGCTCAAGGCGAGGCACTTATGAATTTTGGCTAATTTTCTCATGTTATGGGCATAGTGGTACTCTGTGATGGCATCAGGGCGTTCTTTATGACCAAACAAAATAGGCATCTAAAACATACCTAAATTTAAATTTTAAAATTTGCATTGTTAGTCACATCAATTAATTAACTTATTAAGCAAGGTAGTTTAACCCTTAATGGCAAGAATCTTATAATGTTTCCCCTTTGCCAAAAAGGAAACTCCTTAATTAAAGAAATTCAAAGCTTCTGAAATCAATCATTAGAGCATCCAATTAATTTAAGGTGCTGTAACTCAAAAGTTATCCCAGAGTTCCATACATGATGATAAATAAGGTAAATTTAACATTATAAATCTCAAGTTCCAAAATTTTACTAAAATTGCTTACAAAGCTATAAAAAGTATAAAATTTAGCAAATAAGTACATTAATTTAGTAACTTGAGTGGCAAAATTGGTTATATATAATTACCAATTTTGCCACTCAAGTTAGAGAATTTCAGAAAAAAAATCAAAGGAGAATTTTGGCATTCTATCTTAGAGCTTCTTGTCATCTATTTTTATCCAACTCAAAGTCAATTAACTCACACCCTTAATCCTGAGTTAATCGAAGGGTTAATTTGGATTCTCCGGGACAAAGTGGAATTTTCATTAAAGTTCCATAGTTATAGCGAGTATGTTCCAACTATGACCTAAGGGACTGGAGGATTAAAATCCATTTATTTTTTAGTATTATTTTAAGCTTACTTTCAATTACTTTTTTGAACAATTCATGGAATTGCAATTTCGTCCCTTCCGACTCTTTATTATTTATTGGAGATCACTTTGAAGTGGTTTCATTCAAGCGTCGAGTCACTCGGTTGAATGAGAATGACTCAAATCAAATCGATCTATTCAACGAGTGAGTCTTTTCTCCTCTCGATAATGGATGTGAAACCTATACTCATCTTAATCTATCAAAATAATGAGTGGTGACGTCCTTATTATTGACACTTAAAGATAAATTTTATTTTAAAAAAAGTTGAGCTCAAAAGGTAATACACAAGATTCAAACCCACGACCGACCTCATCGGAGAACGTGTTAGTGTGAAAAACAAGAGAGATAAAATTGGAGTTAGGGTCCGTTTGGGGCAGCTTGTGCGTTTAAGGATAAGATGCTTATCCTGAAACTCAAATGTAAAAACTCAAATGCACTTTAGTGTAAAAACTCAAATGCAGTTTCGGATAAGCTGGCGAAACGCGCGAATCAAACGGTACGACGGTATTTTGAAAACACAACCCGCACTTATAAACTGCCCCAAACGGACCCTAATGTCATCTAAATTAAACCACTAGTGCTAATTTAGCAAATAACAGCGTTAGCACTTTCCTTAATTAAAAATTTCAACTTGCTGCCGTCATATTAAAAAAATTACAGATTAAAAAATGACTTATTTCCTCTATCTCATAAATCATAGAGCTTATAGTCTCCGGCACAGATTGACGTGCCGGGTGCGCTCCCGCGCAGCATAAAAATTTGGAAGGCATTCATTATTTTTTCACTAATTACCATCTAATGAAAATCTCCGCAATGTTCCATAAATTCATCCCTTACCAAAAATAAATAAAACGCTGAAAGAAACGCTGCATATTCGCAAATCCCAAATACCCTTTATTTCCTCCAACTCTGTTTGCCGCCTCTGCTCCTTCTTCTTCCCAAAAATAACTCAAATTAAAAAACAAAAAAAAAAAAAAACTTATAAAAAACTCATCTTGTCTGTCTCTTCCTCCCCAACGCCATTGTTGCGTAGCCGGGAACCTCTAACGAGACTATAGAGGGAGAAAGAGAGACTTTTATGGCATCGCGTCAACAGCGACTGGCGTTAGTATTGTTGTCTGCGTTCCTGCTAGTCGGAATTTGCTCTGCTGCCGACCCTGTTCGGCAGTTCAATTGGGAAGTCTCTTATATCACGTTGTCTCCTCTCGGTGTTCCCCAACAGGTTCTTATTTGTTCCCTCTTTCGATTTCTACAACTCTGTAGGTTTGAGATAATTTCTTTTGAAATCATATGTAAATTTCAGCAAAAAGTATTGAGATGCATGCAAAATATAAATACTATTCAACAATTAAAAATTTTATGTTTTTGAAATCGTTACTTGGCAGAGAATTTACCTAATGTAGGATTTTTAAACAGGTGATAGCTATCAACGGTCAGTTCCCCGGACCGTTACTGGAGGTAACGACTAACTGGAATGCAGTTGTCAATGTCACAAATAATCTGGATGAGGATTTACTCTTCACTTGGTGAGTGATTTAATTCATTTAAACTTTATTCTCACGAAGTTACATGATTGTTTTGTTTGTTATGTGACTGAAGGAATGGGATCCAATTGAGAAGAAACTCATGGCAAGATGGAGTTTTGGGAACCAACTGCCCAATTCCAAAGGGTCAGAACTGGACTTACGACTTCCAGGTTAAGGATCAAATTGGGAGTTTCTTCTACTTCCCATCTCTGAATCTGCAGAGAGCTGCTGGAGGCTATGGAGGTATTATCGTTGACAACAGGAGCGTCGTCCCTCTGCCATTCCCGTTGCCAGATGGCGGTGACATTACAGTTTTTATTGGGGACTGGTTCAATAAGAATCACAGGGTTGGAGAAAAATGACTGAAATGAGATTATATTCGTATTATTATTTTAAAATTTATTGCTTGTTTATGTAAATGGTTTTTCTTATGCAAATGTAGGATTTGAAGGGCGCGCTTGATCAGGGAAAAGAGCTTGGAACTCCTGATGGCGTGCTGATTAATGGAAGAGGACCTTATAGATACAACAACACAATTGTTCCTCTTGGGATTGAGTATGAAACCATTAATGTTGAGCCTGGTAAATCTCTAGTCTTTTGAAGAACAATAATGTTTTGCAGTTTTTTTAGTTAAGTTTGTGGATTGATTGATTGATTAAAGTTGAATATGGAAATGAGATTTATTGAGCTCTGTTTCAAGATTTATATTTATTTATTTACTTAAGAATCAGTTTTTTTTTTTTTTGCGAATATAATTCATGTGATTATTTGTTTCAGTTTTTTCCCCATACTGCAATTAATTTTCAGATCCTATAACTGTAGACCTTCTAATTATTTTTGAATTATTTTCATGTTTTTCTATATAAAATATGAAAAGTTGAAGGTGATTATCAAAGCTCTCTTAATTATAGTAAATTAATCAATCTTTTGAAGGTGAATTTGGAAATAATTAAGGCCGACTGCTCTTCACATTTTACCAAATAAAAAAGTCAAATTTAATACTTAAATCCATTCATTTCGAAATTCCCGCCAGAGTATATTGTGGATCTTGGTGCTGATGCTAATGCTTGTCATTATAGCATTGAATTAACTGACTTGATTCATAATCTATGACAAGTACTACAAATTAGTCTTACATGAAGACCTTGAAGGCCAAATGTAATTAACATACATAACAACTGAAATATATACTTTAAGCTCAAAAATTAGTGCAGTACTTCTTTTTCTTGGTCGCAATATAGCAGGTAATGTCTTAACGTCATCATCTTCGTCAATTTTTTTATCTATTGCCCGGACTTCAACGATCAGGTTGTTAAGTATTAAATCAATTTATTTCTAAATATTTTAGTACAACAAAGGATAAGGTCAATAGATAATTACAGATTAGGAATTAAAACCCAATGTTCAAGGATGATGTACTTATCGGATAAGAGCTAATTATTTTTCTAGTTGAAATAAAACAAAAGTTCTACGGAAACTAAATCAGCATAAACTTTATTGTTTGCATGAAATTTTTGATACATAATGTCTTGTAGATATGTTTTATTTCTTTTATCACAATGAACTTGATATCATAACTAAAAATTTTCTGCTTTTTCTGTCCTGTTGAAGTTCCAATATGAAAAACTGAAAATCTCTGAAAAAAAAATTAGGATTTCATTTCTTTTATCATGTATTCAACAATTCTTAAGTTTCTCTGAGGTTTAAGCTAATTTCTGGTTAACTATTTCACATATTTGCAAGATAATTTTGAGTTATAATGTCAACTTTTAGTTGAGGATATGCTGGCTCATTCTCAACTGATTCTGTGCCTATATAT